GTGTGTTCCTACAGGTCTGAGGGAGAAAAGCAGGAGGGTGGGGTGTTTGTTCCCCTGGCTCCCTCTTCCAGGTCCTCTGGGCCAGCTGCGGTCCTCCAGAAAAGGTTCCAGCTCCCATCGGGGGGCCTCTCCACCCAGCCTGTCCCTCTTCCTTCCCACACCCCTGCATGCCTGGGTGCTTCCACCTGCCGTTAGAGCCACTGCACTCGCTGCACCGGCTCCTGTGGTTTCCCTAGAACCTCCCCACCTTGATAAAAAGTCCCTTTATTTAACTCTTCTCCAGTAATCCTAATGCATATGTGTCCTCTCTTTACCCTGGCTGCTACACCATGATAAAGTGCTTACATTTTATCAGTACTAGTCTTAGCCTTTGATGATAGTCTTCCATCCTGTGACACTATAGCATAGATCTTTTTTCTTTTCTTCTTTTCTAACCTTTTGTTTTCAAGTGCCTGTTACTGTGTTCTGGGAAATACATGGTGACTATATACATGATGCATGACAAAGCTAAGTGATACTTGAGGGACAACTGGTCCACTGAGAGCAAAATGCAGTTGGAGGCCATGAGGTTCAAGTCTCAAGCAGCATTCCCATGCACAGCCCTCTCTGGGGAATGCAGCCAGTCATGGCAAACTCCATTCCCCTTCTCCAGGTTAAAAACTTCCTCTTCACCCTAGTACTGGCTGGAAAATTTTCAGTCATAACCATATTTAGTTGTATTTGGGGAGGGGGCAGTTGCAGGTCAAAAGCTAAAAAGAAAAAAACGGATGTGTGTGTATATATATATAAATATATACTTAAGGAGCTGAGGTCAGCTTACTCCTAACATCCTTGCCTGGGAAACCTCAGTCAGAGGCCACACAAACAAAACAAACAAAACAAACCAGAACAAAAACCTTTCCCTTCAATTGAGTGGACACTGGCTGCTTTCATTCATCTCAATCCGAGAATCATCACGTCAAGTCATGGCTTTGTCAGACCATACGAGCCTTAAGTGACTGCAAGACCACTGCTGATGGGACCCACAGTCCCCGCTAATCACTGCAAGTCACAGCTGTCTTGTTTTTTAAAGTGCTTTTCTTTCATCAAGATAACATAAATTTACTGACAAAGGAAATTCACAAACATCCCAGAGGCAGAACTGGATGTAAGAGTGAATTGCCCAGTTAAAAAACAGGAACATGTTTTTATGCAGAAGAGAAAGTTTCCCTGTCCTTGGAAGCTAAGGCAGGTTCCCAGCATCAGGAGCAGCTAGCTGCTCCAGGACAGAATATCCCTGGTGCAATATATTGTAACCAGACATTCTGCTCACACTTTCTGAGAGAGCCAGCAAAGTCCCAGAAGTGTGTGAGCTCGTGAAAATAAGAAGCAAAGAGGAAAGGATGTAGAGGTTGGTTAAAAATAAAACTTATCAGATGTGAATTAGGTCCTGAGAATGTTATCTCTCCCCACAGGAGGGTGGGAAAAAAAATAGACATGTCAAGGAGAACACAGGCCACAGGATGAATAAGCATAAAAATAGGAGGAAATGACCAAGCAAACGTGCCAGCCCTAGCCATGCAGGAGAAGGGCCTTTCTTGAGGTGCTAACTTTCCAGGACAGGCCAATATCCCTTGAGGGACTCACAGGAAACTGGCTAAGGGACTGTTTCTGGTGGAGAGAGACATTTTCTCCCTCTGTACCTTGTTCAAATTGTTTGCTTTCTTTGTTTCCATGTGCATTTATTACCTTTCCAGGAAAACAAAGGTGTATGAAGATTCTTGGAATATTTCTACTTCCCAGCATTTTTGTGTCAAGTAACCTTGTCAGCAGTAAATTTTTCAAAACCCAGAGAGCTGGCAAACACTCAGGCCCCGGCCTGGCTGCTCAGTTACTGCTTTCTTCAGCCTCAGCCAGACCCCTGGCCGCCAGACACCGCCACGCCCCCATGCCACCCGCGGCCTCTGTGGGATCTGCCAAACTGGGGCAGCTCCCAAATCTCTCAAACAGACCCACCACCCCCAGACCGTTCTCCTTAATCCCACCCAGCTCCCTAGAAGCTCCAGAATGATAAATGAAATATCCCTTCCATTCCTCAGGCCCAAGTCCCTTCCACCTGTATATCCGCCAGCCATCTGTCATAAGGAATGTGCCATTTTCCCTCAAGAAACAGGGACAAAACAAAGACCACTTGTTCAATTAATTTTTAATGCCTAGCGTTCATGTGCTCCAAAAATAATGAATTTTATTCCACAACTGCTCTTAAAATCTGTATGCAAAATTGTGACACTAAAAACTAACAGCCATTCTCTGAGACATTTCTCTAACTTTAAAAAAAAGAATCACAAAATGGTCTTTATAAATTTTCTGAAAAATCTCAGCACTCAGATCATGAGTAGCAACTATTTCCAAAAAAGCTGACTTTTCTAAGGGCTAAGGTTATCAAAGGTCAAACAAACAGGATTCGAGAAAGAAATCTGGTGCTGTTTCAAAACTCAATAGTCTTTTGTAGTATTTGAGAAAGCAAAAGAGCTTCATGTTCTAAAGAAGTTAAAATGACATCTATCAGCCACCTTAAAAAGATTACGTGGAAACTGCCCAAGTGCCTTTAATAATTAAAAATGTTTATAAACCTCCATGCAGTGTCACTCTGGTGATAGAAGTAGTCCCTAAAATGGCAGGGCTGTGCTCATCCCCTCCCTTTATTTCCATTTATCATATGGAGAATTTTCAGTAGCAGAACTACACTGGCAGCTCCACCTCAAGCCCAAACTGGGAAGTCAGTTGCATCAAAAAGAAAAAAATGTTTCCTTTCCTCCTCTCACAGCGCATGACATAGGGACACAAGGGCAGCCATTCGCACACAGCCTACATGTGGCCTGCTGGGAGGCCCCCAAACTGCACCCAGGAAATCCCAGACTGTTTTCTCTTCCGGATGACCCCTGCTTAATTCTGCTCAATGGGTGATGCCCTTCCTCATGCCGCTCATGTCCAGCCTTGGCCCAAAAGGCGAAGGCTGGGCAGATACCTTAAGTTCCTCCAATGTCCTATGAGGCAGGTTGCTAAGATCCAAGATCCCACTGCAGATTCAAGGGAGAATTCAACCACGAAGTTGGTGTTTTCTGCACATGTGGTTTATATTGAATAACTTACATTCCTTTAGATGTTGGGTATAAGACCTTGGTTGATAACCAAAATATGATGTAAAAATATCAAGCAGCAAGCATTTAATGCTCCCCTGCTCCGTACTCCACTTGTTCCTGCTTATTGTTTGACATCTCCTCTGCAGGAGGGACACAAAATACTAAGGAGCTGGGAATCTCAAGCTTGTGCTATTGGTGTGCTACTCCATCACCATGTGAACTTTGACAAGCCAGCTGTTCTGAGTTATGTTTCCTCGTATGTAAAGAGGAAGAGATATCTAAGAAGTGTTTGCAAAGAAAAAACATGTGGGAGCATGTAGCACAGGCACAAACCTGGCATATAGCTGTTCTCTGAGTACCTAGTCATTTTACCAATTGCTCTGTATCATGCCCCTTTGACCTCTGACCCTGGCTTTGCAAATGTAAAGAAAGGCCAAGGTAAATCCAGCCTCTCAAAAGACCTAACCATCAGCCGAGAGACAGCAACATATTTAAAAATCAAATTTGGATGGGAGTAGTTTGGGACTGAAAGTAGATGGGTGTTAATAATATAAATCAGTATGTATTACCCAAGGGTTCATCTATAACCAGCTTCATTTTGAGAAGAACTACTTATTTTCACTGTTTTGACAAGTCTCTAACCACTTCACTAACCAGTATTCTTTTCATGCCATTCGAAAGATTCAAGACTGAAGCTAAGACAATTTTGCATTATTTTTATTTTAAATAACGTTACCAAAAATATCCCTTGTGCTTGTTCTCATAGTTGATCAAATATAACAGTACCTGACATGTTCACATTCTTATTTGATACAAAATGCTGATCAGCACAGCATTTCCCATCACTGCTGTCTAAAACACAGGAACTTTCAAGACTGAATGGCCCAAATAAATTAGGATGAAGCAGCCTCTAAAAAACCTGAGTTCTTTTTAAAGAAGAAAAACAAATTCATGTCTGAATGGATTAATTCATGCTTCAGACAGCCTGATATTTAATTGGTATTAACTACTCTCCTAAAAATCTATTTAATGCATTTAGTTAAGACATCTTGTTTCCATGAAATTGGATCTTTGGTTCAAAATTTAATCTCCTGCCAAGGACTTGGCACTTTCTAGGTGATGTAACACTGAGGTAGGTTCTTAACATTTCATTGCCAGGAATAGAAAGGAAATTGATCAGATTATTTGCCAAATAATGTTTCTTCAGCAGAGCTAAGTCCACCCCTAAGTGGGCTGTCCAGGAGGGGAGCAAAAAGCAGACACTATTAATAGTTATATTTTCCAGGTTAACCTTCCAGGACCAAAATCAGCCATGAAAAAAAGCAGTGCATTAAAAATTGATCTGATATGAAGTTTATTAGTTTGTAGGACCTTTGTCTGGAAGGAATAAAGCAAGGTCTAAGAGATCAGATCTTCTGGCACGTCAAAATATTGATTAAAGTGACAAGACGAACTATTGAAATGGCATGATACTCCTTCAGAATATTGTCACTAGCATTCTCATGACATTAGTGATCATGGGAAAACTTAGGTACAGTTTTACTGAATATAAAGTTCTTATTAAACAACCTTTCTTTCTCTTACTGAAGTTTTTCCAAATTGTTCTGAAGGACAAAGATAGTCTGTCCTATGTGAAGCTATTTTTACATTACTTCTACAGTTCCAGGATACCAAAGGGAAGAATTTCTCTTTGTTCAATTTTCAGACTGAGAACGGTCAATGACTAATTCAAATAATTAGCAATATGAAATGACACCATGACCAAGTGTTTCTAAAACTCTTAGCCTAAACTTGTAAGACAATGAGAGAAAGATTGTGCCAAAATCCCAGTGAGCCCTTCCTGCCAAAGATGTAGGAAATGAATAACCATTAAAACACTAAGGTAAGAGAGAAAGTTTATTCACTGAGTATTTATGGAGCCCTTACTGTGTGCCAGGTACTATTTGAGGTGCTGGGAATACATTCCACGGATTAAAAACATACAAAAGTCCCTGTCTTCACTGTGCTTACACTCTCGGGGAAGGATACAAGACAATAACATAATAAATAAGTAAATTACATAGTAAATTAGAAGGTGATAAGTACTGTGAAAGAAAACAGAGCTGTCATCTGAATGAAAACAATTTTAGCTGGAAATCTTCCAAAACCAAAAACGGAAAAACTAAGTTTCTTTCTCAGAAAGCCTATACATCTGTAAAGAACAGAAGAAAATATTTCTGGCTCTTTAGTGTTCATGGGAGATGTTTCAAGCAAAGAATCAAAAGGGAATCTTAAAATATGAAGATGGAATAGAAAACTAGGAAGAGTAACTTTCACAGAACAGGCACTTAATACAGAGTTCTTGAGTCAGCAGAATCTAAGCTTCTTGCAGCGGTAGAACCTTCCATGGTTCCAGCAAACTCCACGATTCTGGCCACCCTGCGAAACACAGTGCATCAGGAGAGTCAAGTCTGTTGATAACAAGCTATTAAGGACAGAAAATGTGGAAAAAGTCAGACAGTTTTTCAGGATTTTTTATTTCCATTTTCTTTTTAAAATATAGCATTCCATTTTTTATCTTTTTATTTTGTTAAGGAAGAAAGGTGAGCTCATTCAAAAGGAAAACTGAAAATCGGGAATGCGCACTCCAACTCCATCCGCACTCTCAAGTTGTTTAAGAAGCGCACGTTTATGGTTTATCAGTAGGCCCAGGTCTTTCGACACCACTATCAGAGGTTGTTGATTCTAAACTACCGGGTAAGACTTTTTCCCCTTTGATTTAAATTTAAAGTCCATTTCAACAAAGCAACCGCAACAATTAATGTCTAGTGTTTGCCTCTGGGGAGTGAAGTTCTCCAAGTAAGAAGCGAAAATAGAAAATAAATGTTACTGTGATCAGAAAGTCATAATTTCAGAAAACGGGGCAGAGACAGTAAGTCCAGGTTGCAGGACCAGGAAATAGGAGTGTTCACCCACAGGATATTTATAAAATTGATGACTGTGACAGCAGCCCTTTCTAGAGGTAATAATGTCATTAGGTTGTGACCATGCTCCAGAAACCCCAACAGCTCTGCATTAAGAACATCTGGAATTGTTCATATGACACAAATTTCTGTTTCCTGCTGTTAAGGCTTTAGTGATGCCACTCTGTGGCATCAGTTAACATTTTTTTTCCTTTGCAAACCTCTTCCTTTCAAATCAGGAAGTGTACATAAAGTGCAAGTAAGATTCATTCCCTCTCCCATACTTCCAGGCTCTTGTTTTGATAGCCAGTATACCCAATCTTATCAGTTAAACCTCTGGCCAGCTAGGTCATGTGCATGTATTTCTTGAATTAGCAAATGAGCTCATCCAGCAAAGAGTGTCTGAAGGTAGATACAGTCTTGGCAAGAAAACACAGTACCATATGCAAGACAGGGATATGAACAACATAAGCAGTAGGAGGGCTTCTTGTCAATGAGTCACCGAAGAGGCCTTCTTTGGATCTCAACTTTTAAGGAGAATTCAGGAACCGTTACTAAAATGAATGAGGCCAGCGGATTTCAGAGCTCGGTCAGTCTTCACTGTGGGCAGATTCCGTTTTCCCTGGATTGGGGACAGCAAAGAAAGTGAGGAGGGCAAAGTTTAAGGTCACAAATTTCTCAAAAAAAAGCCTCCAGTAAATATTTCCCATCTTACAGAACAAAGTTGAGCAGAATGCCTCCCAAGAGAGCTTAGCAACATATGCTTTCTCTGCTCTTTGATAGGTATGTAGTCCAAATGGGTCACAGGTTTGGCAATCTCACGTATATCTTTCCTGCCGGATTTCTTAGATAGATTTTTCTTGACTAATACACCCATGAGCATTGTAACTCTTCAAGAGAAGGATACAGTGTATATTATTTCCCACAATTTAGGGGCCAGAAATTTACCTTCTCATAAACCGGGTGGGTGGGACTAGCAGGACTAGTGTTTCAATGAAACATATTTTGGGAAATACTGCCGTAAGGCGCTGGCTGGAGGGAACAGGAATGACGTTAAGGCATAAGGCATATTCAGCTAACATTACATGGACCCAGTTTCTCTACTAAGAGTCACAGTTCTACATCAACATAGTAGATTAACCATTATAGCTGGGTTCTACTGTATTTCCTTTGTAATGTGCCTAAATCATGGGCAAAACTTAACGCTATGTTTGATGGGTGAAAATTAATGATCAAAAATTAACTATTTCCACCTCTTACAAACTGCCATGCAATCTGTGGACATTCAGAAGGAATGTCCTCTGTATCTTTTCTGACTTTTCCAACAGAGCTGAGGCCAGGGTTTCAGAATTAGGCCTATCAAGATGTTACTATACCTGAAGCTAAGCCACAGCTGAGACCGAACAGAGTATATTAGAATACATATAAAAATCTTGAATAAAAGTCATCAACTGACTTGATCAAAAGTCACAGGAAATTATCAAACACATACTAGTTAAATTCCTGAATTTCTTTTTGGCTTCTGCCCTTTCTTCAGCATCGAAGTACCAAACAGTCATAGCATATCTGTGAAAGAGAAGCAGACATAAGAAAAGAGGTTTAAATACTACCAAAAAATAAAATATAGTAGTTATAAATCTCACCATCAGAGTCATCTATAAAGCCAACATTTCAAGTTTTTCCTAATATTACAAGTCCACTCCAATTTTAATTTAAAATAAACCTCTCAGGTTTCAGTTTATTTAAAGGTAATAAAACACATAAGGAATTCCAAGTATGTACCACGCATTATCCTAGACAGTGAGATTTCAAATGATCATGTGACTGCATCTGACTTCCTCAAAGAGCTCAAGTACTGGCCGGGGAGACAGGCAATTCAACAAATAATGAAATAGGTCAAGATGAACCACACAGAAAGGACTAGAAAGGAATCATTGTGCTAAAGAGTGAGAGACCCAAGTTGGTGGGAAGAGCACAGAGAAGAGGAGGTAGCATTTGAGTGAAGCTCTTTATCTAAGTGATGGGACACTTAAAACTCATGGGTTTCTTTCTTTAGTTTTGGATACTGAAGTAAAGATGCAATAGAATAATGATGTCCTCAAGCTTTCTGCTGCATTCCCATTAATTTGCTTTATCCCATCTATGGGATAGACTGTAAAGTCATTTCATGCGTTTTCAAAAGTTCCATTTTATAATTATTACTAGCTCCTAGAATTTCTTATACCACTTGCTTTTTTTTCCCCAAGGGCTCCTCAACATTTGCTAATGCTTCCCCTGTGACTTCAGTCATCAAGGGACCGGAGAATAATTCTGGCACAAATGACTGGGTCCAATTTTTGCACCCCATGAAACAAGCCACAAGCAGGGCTTTGGTGGTAGAATTATTGACCTGCTCACCTAGGGCACATTCCAGTTCAACATTTAATAAAGAACTCCGTGTCGGACTCACACCTGTGATTTCTGGGGGAGAACACTTACAAATCCTAAGCACTGTACACATATTATTTTAATTTAAAATTAGGCTTGCTGAGGTTTAGTCATTCTCCTACCCAAGTTCTCTCTCTTTGCCCCCAACTGCCATTCCCAATTCAAGCTGCACCCAACAGAACTCCAGTACTGCCCAGTCTATAGCTTAGGCCATAAAACAAAGGCAAATGAGGCAGAATACCAAAATTAAGATTATACCAAGGGTTTCTAGATTAATGCTAAACAATACTATGTTGTTCAGTTACTCTGAAAAGCTTTCCATGCATGATCTAAAAAAAGGATTTTTAAAAATCCAACTGTTATGACCTGATGGGTACAGTTAGGCCAACCCAATTTTAAGCTAAGGAAAAGGTAGAAAAGAAAAGAAGGCAGAACACATTTCCCTTGCTTTTCTCAACACTGTTTCTCTGCTGGCAATTGGCAACTTGTAAACTCATCCAGAGTTAACCAGAAATAATACCTGATAAAAAAATAGTCAACATTCCTTAGTGGTAGTTAAGTGTAATTTTTTAAAGGAGGGGTGGGAAAGAAAGGAGAGGAGAGAAAAACACTGGGAAATAGAAAATAATTTGTTAATAATGAGTGCAAACTGACATTAGGTTTTGAACACTAAAGAATCCAAAGTTTCCCCTTTAATTTGCTATCCGCTTTGGGTGTGGTTGGTCCCTGTGCTTTGGGTGTGCACAGGACATGAGTTTACAGAATTGTCTGGGAATTGGGGTTTGCACAAGAAGCTTCTCAAGAGAAATAGTGGCCTGGCTATTACCTGGTTGCATAAGAAGGCTGGACTTCATGTGGGTTCCTGCGGTCTGACCAGAAGAACAAGAGTCTGTCAAAAATGGGCTCCACATCAGCAATGAATGATTTCCCTTCTGGAAATATCCGCAGGACCCCACCGTGTAGCTGAGGGCCACAAAGAAGGTAGATTATTTCCTGGCCTCACACAAAGTTGATCAGCAATGATAGTTCAGCCTCGTCTAATAACAACACCATCTTCTAATCTCCACTCCATGTGAATATCACTCCCGAAGCTTTACCACAATCTCATACTTTGTACTATATTTTATTTCCAACTTGGCTTGATACATCTCCTTATTCATCTCACAGGAAATGAAGCCTTCGTATACCAATCATGAGGCCCACAGAAGATAGAATGCACTCACTATTGGGCCAAATCACAGAAAACTGCCAATACTTAACTGTTTTTGACCTATAAACTCCAGCCCCAGAAATTTCATATGGTTCAATCTTACATTACAGTTTCCTAGGATAGTCATCACATACAACTTCTCCTTCAGTTAGAATTAACAGCTTTCTTGTGAACTCCCTCAGCTCCTATGTGACCTCATCAGTTGGAAGTTACATGCTTTTTCTGAACTCTCAGACCATCTTCTCTGGACCTTTTATTAAATAGATCCCTCTCTTCCTTGAATTTCTTTCTTTTTATTTTAATATGGATACCTGATCTTTCCTACTAGAAGAGCTTTATCAAGGTAGAAATCAGGCGTCACACATCAGTGTTACCCCACAGCACAATGCCTGGCATTGGCAGGCACTCAAATGGTTGTTGAGTGATTTCATATTTTTCAGTTTATTATCACTGACCTGACAACTTCACTCTCTTGCCTATAACACCACCTTTCAAGATTTTAAATGACAACTAGGGGATACGTTCCAGTCATGTTACCAAACAGGGAGAAGAGACAAGGCTTGTCACTGGTTTAGTTTCTCTGACCCCAGATAAAATATCTCTGCTTTATGACAGCCAGTATCTGCCCTAATGAACAGGAAATGGAGATTCAGAGGGTTCAAAAGCCAAATAAGCTTGAAAGTTCCCTTACTTCTCAGACTCTTAAATCATCCTTAACTTTCAGAAAGGATACAAATTCCAGACAAATGTTTGTAAGCGTGGAATCAGACTTCCTATCTCTATCTGTATGTTCGAAAACATAAAAATAAGCCAGAAAGACTTTGGCGTTCGCAAACTATAGTAAACCATGGCAAGCGGCCACCAATGAAATGTATCACCCTGAGAGAGAGGACTGTGTGGGAAATCTCACTTGGGGCCGGTTTTATGTCCTACAGTTCTATTTTTGTTCAATTCTCTCAACGCTGCTGCTGGAAGGGAAAACTATGTATCTTATTCGGCATTGAGAGTCATGTCAGATCTGGATTAGACTAAAAAAATTGATTCCCATTCTGAAAATAATAAATTTTACTATAATTTCTTCATCAGTCACCCTCCCACAAGGTGATAATGACCCTACCTGCCCCCCATCAAATTAACTTCATATCCATTATTTTCATCTCATCAACGTTAATAATTTAATACTCATCAACTTCAATATAGGAGGGAAAAAAGTAAACTAAGAAACAGAAAAGATTCATCAGTGGGAATTATGAACTACAAACTCTCTTCTACATCGTTGAAGTCTTTTCAGATCGCTTCTAACCCCACACTCTACTTGCATTATTCCCAAGTACCTTGGCGTCCCAGTTCTTGTTCAGATAGTAGATGCAGGTGATACAGCGGCCGTCCCCGTTGGGGTTGTCTACGTGTCGAACATAACCTGTTCCATTTCCTGGGTAGCAAGCCACCATTGCCTATGGAGAAATCCCAAGAAAGCTGGTTAACAAAGCTGAGACACTCTTTTCCCACTGATGAGCAGCTAAGTAACAGTCTCCTTGGGTGCTATGTGACATTAATAGGTGGCTGCCAACTTAATTGCATGCATGGTACATAAATTTGGACTCTTCAGCATAGAAGATTAACAGCCAAGTCATACTTTATGGCTCAACACAGTGGAAAGTAGTTCAACAGTATTCCCAGAGTCCTAGAACAGTCTAGAATGTAACCCATCTAACATCATCATCAGGATGTTCCACCTTTCTTCAATCCTCATTTTTGAAAACGTAGGTTCTTGGTTCCTACTCTAAGATCCACAAAATCAGAATCACTAGGTATGGAGTTTAGGAATTATGCCAGTTTAACAAGTGTCTCTGAATCACAGAATCACCCAGTGTCTTGTAACAATGGCTGAAGACACTCACATTTAGAAAGAGACAGGAACCAATCACGAAGGAGAAAAAGGCCAGGCTTGCTCAAATAAAAGCTTCAGACAGAAAGAAGAGGAAGGGTCAAAAGGAAGCTGCACCCTAATTTGTTAGCATAGATGGCACAGTCAGTCCAGTTCCTACAGGAAGCCACAAACACATCGTAATATGTCTCACAATGCTTGTCTTCTTCCTACTGATGATCAAATCAGATGATAACCTGACTGTTCTCTTCCTTTGCTCAAGCACAATCAATCTGTATCAACCAGGTGGAGGAATTAAACAGAAAGCCATCCTAAAAACCCTACTGAAAATTACTATGAGAGAACTACTGTTAAAAGGTTAACAAACCTCTAATTGGAGGAATTACAGCAAGGTGTAGAAAAAAACAGACAAAGTGCTAAAGCTAGTTCTTTTCACAGGACACTGCCCTATTTCTAAAATATTTTTGAAGGGATGAGACATGCAGGGAAGATACTGAAACTGGCAACATAAGATGAGGAAGGGGATATTTTTCTGGTTTTGCTTACTGATGTATTCTTAGTGCCTAAAACAATGCCTGACACTTGGAAGGTGTCTGTTTAAAATTTGATAAATAAATGAAAATATTAGCAAAAGACTCTTCTTTTTAAAGTAAGGTTAGATCCTACCTACATAAATAGAAATTTCTGTCATTATAAAAACCTATCTTCAACCATACATGCAGTGATTCAACTTGTATTTTCCCTCAAAATGACATGGTTGTTTCACTGGTAAAATGATCAAGTGGGTAGAGGCCCAAACTAATTCACTAGTGGCTCAATGTATCAGCTTCAATGCCATGAATACCAAGTCACTCCCAGTGGTATCATGGAAACATGACCTAAGCATGTAGCTTTACAGGCTTCACACACATTGCATACTTAGAGCAATAATTAGACTCAATAGTAGCTTGGCTTTACAATGATCTTAAAGCTTAATCACCATATCTTGTAAACCTTATATCTCCACGCAGCTAGCACTTGCCATATCCTGCCTTTGAACATCTAAAATGTCAATGCAATGTCATCTTAGAGCTGAAGTTAGACTGTTAGTTTGAACATCTTTCAGATGGGATTTTGAGGCTACAGCAATCAAGATTTAACAAACGATGGTACCACTAGGCAAGGATGGCTTGGGGAAAGGTGATGGGTAGCAGACAAAAATGATGGGCCTAGCTGGGAAGAAGAGATAAATGAAGCCACCTATAATGACTAGGGAATTACTCATCCCTGAAGCAGCTATTAGGATTGTAAGAGCCACCACTGAGCCAATACTGAAAGTCACTTAAGCCACAAACAATTACAGGCTGGATTCCCTACCATCTCAGCCTCTCCTCATGGTGAAGCCCTGAAAAAAAAAGTACTCCATCAACGCTACATAATCTTGTCTCCTAAAACAGCTCTACTCTAAGGAAAAGGTCAGTGGTCTGGATGCCTGACATCTAGCTGACTCTGCAACTAATTGTGTGATCCCAGGCAGTTTCTTTTCCATAGAGAGGGGCTTGGGTCATATAGCCTCCTAATATCCAAGATCTAAAACTTGATCTAAGCTATCAACCCCCAAAAAAGCAACAGAATTCTTCTTCAAGGCATTGTGAAGTGCTTATCTGCCTCAGGACTCAGCTTAAATACTGAACAAATAGATACAACTCACAAAAGTACATCCCTTACAAATTGTGCATCTGTAAAATACACGTAAAAAAAGAACTAGAAAATTCCACAGGACTTATTATGACAGAACTCCCAAGTGTCAGTGAATATTTGACTGCTTAAGAGAGAAGAACAGAATTTTTCTGGCCAGAGTGAATCTTCACCCTCTTTCCTGGTTCCTGGAGCCATAGAATCAAGTTTGAAACAATGGAAGGATATCAGTGTGGGTCTCAGTGGACCTGCTGAAGCTACACAGGCCAATTTTATCAGTGTTTCTGGACAAGAGTCATAGGAGATGGGTCTAGGTTTGGACACAGTCCCAACTATTTGTTCGTCTCTGACACAGTCTAGAACCAGGAGGCTAAGCATGCCTGGAGAAGGAAGGCTTACTTCAACAACTAGTCACACATTTCTGTGCCAATTTGTGCACGGGGCAGAAACAAACCCCGGAAACTGATTGGTTCCACTGTGTTGCTATCTAAACCTCATCAAGCTTGGGAAGGGATTCGGTGTGTGTAAGGAAGGAGAATGCTTCAGAACAATAACCACAGGGCCAGGGTGCCTGGACAATCCTGTGACAACACGTGCCAAGCAGTAACACCAACACTGATAGGGAGGATGTCTCACTTACTGTGCCAGAACCCCCGGGCTTGATTACTGTTTGAAATTTCTAGAGGTTTAATAACATGTTAGTGTGACCTACAACAGCACATATGACATAGCCCTATAGTTCTGTTCTTGGATGAGTAGATAGAACAAATGTCTTTATCTACATCCCTTATGCATTCACAATTCCTTCCTGGGACTCCATCATAGACCCCTCCCACCGTCCCCAAAGGCCCCTCCACAGCTCTACAGCCAAAGGAAATGAGCAGAGGGGTGAACACTTCCCAGGATCCTAGGCTGGCTTCTACCAGAGATACATGCCCTAGACATACCTAGGCAGCCCCATTCACACAGGAAAAGTGTATGTATTCTTTAAAGAATTTCAACAGCCAAATCAAAGTAACAAAATCTGCTCCCTAAATACCATGGGTGGAAAAGAAAAGTGGTTCTGTTAGAGTTATTGTTGAGTTGGCTTCATAAAAAAACCGTATCTCATCAATCCCAAAGGTATTGAAAGTTGAAAATGCAAAGTCCAGGATTTCCATTCCAGTGTGTAAACTGAACTCCCTTGATTGAAACCAACCACAGTTTGATTGCATGTATAAACCATTTCAAAAACTGGCATCAGTGACCTCCACTGTCCATTCAGCAGTGATGATCACTTTAGACACACAGGAGGGAAGGGGGTACATCTGCCCCATCTCAGCTTCCAGTTAGATTCACCACTGTTCTAATAACAACGATTTTTATAGAAATGAATTTTACATCACTCATGATTTTGGTGTTAGATTCACTAGTATGACTTCATCTTAAACTAAAAAGGGGACTTTTACATAAATTTTAACTCAGCAAATTGAAATACTAATCAAATCATATTATTTGCAGAATTTGCAATAAATGTGAATCCTTTTAAAAAATTTTTTCAAAACTAGCCTAACTTCAAAGGTGTCTGGCTGAATAACCTTTAAACTGGTATTTTGTTCCAAATGTTAGACCCTTCTAACTGTTAAGCAGAAATACCAGCCAATCTTTGTAAGGATTTGTTTTGAATGATGAAAGGCCTGGAGCAGAACATACTTTGAATAAAATGCAACCTCAGTACAGAATAACCTGTCCTTATTAATCTCTTCATACTTTAGTTTCCTCCTCTATAAAATGGGTTTATGACGACTGAAGGAGATAATCTATGCAAACTGCTTATTTTCCAAGCCTGTTCCACACTAAATACTGCCTAATGTTGGCTGTTTTTTAAAATAGTTGATGATCGTTGTCTTCCCCTCAACTGGGGCTTCAGAATGTCTCCCCTTCAGGGATGTGATTCTGCCTAAGTGTTTTGTAGCTTCAAATCCAGAGCTAGCAAAATTAAGTAGCTTGGAGTGCTTGCAAAATAATATAAACGAATGAAGTGAATCAGGTTATACATGTGTCAAAACTCTAGAGTGTATGCTTATGCTATGCTACCTACAACCAGGGAATTTGCTGTCCTTTGCAACAAGGGCCCAGTGTTACAAAATCTTCAGATTTTAGGAGAGTAAAATGCATCCGAACCAGGTTTGTATGTAAACTCTTCTGAATATTTTTGATCCCAATTTTTAAATCTGGGCCACAAAAGATACATCAGGTTGTCTTTTGAGACCACTGTCTGAGGTCTCCTAAGATGTCAGGCTACCCTGTGACAGCTCCTGAGCTGCAAGTGGGCACCTCCCCACCTCGCTTCACCAGGCTTTGGGGGGTGTCCCACCCATAAGCAAAGCCTCATCCAACAGGGTCACCCGCAGCCCACAAGCCTCCTCCAAACCCTCCTTCTCCTTAAGGGCTTCTGCTCCAGACACAGCAGTGAGCCCCAGGATCCACCAGAGGACAATAACTACATGGGAAATTTGATATATAAAGACTTGAGAAGAAACACACAAATGAAACCATGTGCCTTCTTTAGCTGGAACAAGGGCCAACAATTCATGGTAGTGGAGAAGGCAGTAGGCTGAAGTTTTCTGGCCAGAAATGGGTCCAACTTATATTCAGGTGACAACAGCCCGGGTGACAAACTTTCCAATGTTTCTAGTCAACTGCGGGTGGAGGCGCTGAAGGCTATACTCCCAGGCTCATCCTTCTGGCAGTTTGTGTTCAGCCCTTGTCCTAACATACACATTTACTGTGGATAGGGAACAGGGTAGCCCGGAGGCTGTACACTTTATGTTCTGTATTCATAAAGACAACTGTCGAGGAAGGGGCCCCATTTGGTCATTCCTGGTGGTGGTAACTGGAACAAAGCAC